GTGAACTGTGCAATATATTCGAGGTGTCGTGTCTGCCGTGGTGAGCTTCGTAGAGGATCCTGGTTGAGGGCGTATATCAAAGGTTTGTGTTCGGTATATACCACGAAGTTCCTTCCTTCAAACATGTGCCTGAAGTGTTTTATTGCCGTGTATATCCCTAGGAGCTCGCGATCGTACGGGCTGTACTTTGTCTGTGCGCGGTTGAGCTTCTTACTCAGGAACGCGAGTGGCTGCCATCCCTCGTTCGTCCTCTGCTGCATTACCGCTCCTATTGCCATCTCTGAGGCGTCTGTCGTTACCGCTAGTTCTGCTCTCGGGTCCGGATGTGCCAGTACGGTAGCTCGAGATAGGCTATCTTTGCAGCTCTGGAAAGCCTTCTCCGTTTCCGCTGTCCATGGGAATGGTTTTTTGCCTTTCATCTGAGGCCCCTTGAGCATCTCGTTCAACAGGGCTTGATCCTTTGCTGCGCCTGGAATGAAACGGCGGTAAAAGTTTATCGTGCCCAAGAATCGTCGTAGCTGCTTTATGGTCTGAGGTTTGGGGAATTTCCGGATTGCCTCTACTTTCTCTGGCAGAGGTGTGGTACCCTCGGCTGATACCAGGTATCCCAGAAACTTTACTTGTTTTGCGCTGAATACGCATTTTGCCGGATTGACTTTTATTCCGTATTGTTCTAATCTTTCGAACAATTGGCGTAGGTGGTCTCTGTGTTCTTCTTCCGTGTTTGATGCTACGATGATGTCATCGATGTAGGCATAACAGAAGTTGAGGTCCCTCAGTATTTCGTCTATGAACCTCTGGAACGTCTGTGCTGCGTTGCAAAGTCCAAATGGCATGTAGAGGTACTCAAATAAGCCAAAGGGCGTAGTGATCGCCGTTTTTGGTATGTCGTCCGGGTTTACGGGTATTTGATTGTATGCACGTACGAGGTCCAATGTGCTGAAGATCCTCTTCCCGTGGAAAGTTTGCGCAAAATTTTCAATGTGAGGTACTGGGTACCTGTCGGCCTCTGTTCTTGCGTTTACTCCGCGGTAGTCTCCGCAGGCTCGCCATGTACCGTTTCCTTTCGGTACCATGTGTAGTGGCGATGCCCACGGGCTTTTTGAAGGCCATATTATCCCTTCTTGTAGTAGGAGATTGAACTCCGTTTTGGCCGCTTGGAGTTTGTCCGGAGCCAGTCGGCGTGGACGACAGGCCTCTGGTTGACCTTTCGTTGTTTTAATGTAATGTGTAGTGCTGTGCCTTCCTAGCTTAGCCTTGGTGCTGGGGTTCATGATTCCTGGATACTTGGCCAGGATATCATGATATCCCGTTTCTATCCTCAGAGTTTTTATTGATGTCAGCTTGCTCGTGCCAGTGGATCCGGGCGCCGCGAGTCCTGTCTGCCCGTCGATTAGCTTCTTATTTCTCACGTCCGGTAGCAGGTGATAGTACGACTAGAAGTCTGACCTGATTATTGGTACTGTTACGTCTGCGACGATGAATCGCCATGGGTGTGCTCTTCTCAATCCGAAATCTGGCTGCAGAGTGGTGAATCCGTATGTTTCTATTACGGATCCGTTCGCCGCGAAGAGTTGATAAACTCCTGTTTTTCTCTCTCCCTGAGTACTGATGTAGGAAAATACGCTGACGTCTGATCCGGTATCTATGAGGTATCTCTTCTGGGTCGTGCGGTCTGTGACGTACAGGCGGCGGGATCCGGGGTTGTTGTCATTGGCCGCCTTCATTGACTGCCCTCCTTGTTTTCCGCCTTGAATGTGCACGGTTGAGTACACTTCTGTGCCTCCGCTCCGAAACGGCGGTGGCAATAACAGACTCCGTCTCGGCGGGGTGTCTTGCTGCGTAGGCGGCTTCGGCTGCGATTTCTCTGACGGTTTCTGCCTTGGGCTTGGATGGATTTGACCATCTTTTCTACTTGCAGAGTGAGTGCTGCTATTTGTTTGCTCAGCGCGTCCCCTTGTGCCTCGTCTGTGTTTGCGGTTGTACTTGTGGGCGTTGGCGCGGTTGTCGCCAGGACGAGCGCCTTGCTGTTGACCTCGTGTATTCGGTCAGCCTGATCCGCTACATCTTCCAGTCTATCCTCCGTCCGTGTAGCCAAGATAGCTTGTGTTTGTGGGGGTAGTCGCCCTAACCAGAGCGTTTGTAGGAGTTCGTTCGAGACGGTGGTCCCGGCTAGTGTCGATAAGTGCCGGAAAAATTGCGATGGCTTCCTGTCTCCTAGCTCCTTGTGCTCTAGTAGCTGTCTGATCCGTTGCCCCTGTGCTGTTGACCTTCAGTCTGGCCCACGCGCTCGGCGCGTGATCGGTTGGCGCGCGCGCGGCGCGCGTACCGTATCGATTGTGCGGTCGGAAGACCGCCACAGTCTCTATAATTTTTTAAATATTTTTTTAAAGTCGGCTTTATTTAAAAAAAAAATTTTTATTTTATACTTTTTTAGTGCTTCATTAAATTAATATGAATAACTATTATTGGATATTTCCTTACTGCTCCGTACCCTGATATTTTAGCGCGATATTTTATGTACTAAAACCTTTCTGGAGAATTGCTCTATAGGACAGTGAAAACCGCATTTAAATCCGTTCAGTAGTTTTAAAGAAAATCGTAGTCATACATACATACATACACGCCGAATATAGAACCTCCATTTTTTGAAGTCGGTTAAAAAATAAAGATAATATAATTTTCAATGATAGTCTTAAACCTCGGGATGTTTAATTTTTGTGAGTTTTATAATAGAAAAGGAACTGTTTTTCTTGCTTCTCACATCTATTTCTTGAACTTAATCATCATCTACATCATTATCGCTGAAATATAATAAACATTTTGCATCTTCAATTAATTCTTTCTTTTTATGTCCCATAATTTTTCGCGAATTAGATATTATTGGATTTGAAGCAATTATCAAATTATTAAAAATATCTTCATTATTTTGTATTCGCGACAGTTTTTGCAAATGATTTTTTCTATATTTTCTAAAATATTTATGGTTTGCTTCCTGAGCATCTTCAGATAATTGTCCTATTGGTATGATAGCATTTTTTATAATATCATTGCCATGAATCAATAATTTGTGGACTGAGACTGGCATGTAATACCATGGGTATAATGATACAAATAATTCGGCAGTTCTAAAAGCATAAGATTCGAATTCCGACACGTTAATTCTATTCCCGCTAGCGATTACTTGCAACAAAACTTCAAATCGAGTTATTAAGTTCTTATCTAAACCTGTAATGGCAGCTGATAATTCTAGATTAGCAAAAAATTTTCTGGCCGTGTTGCCATCATTGAATGTACCTTTTCCTTGTTGCACGAAGTCTATCAAGAGACCTGCTTTTGTTCTGAAGGCAGTCTGTATTTCTCTTTTTCTTTGCTTGACTTCTCGTTTATGACTCTCATTCCTCGCTGACCAACATTTGATATTAATTTTATACGAAATATGTAATAAGCATTCAAAACAGCAAATCCAGCAATGTAATCGTAATTGTAATGTAATTGTAATCGTAACGGCTAGCTATCTATTTTGATTTCAAATTTTTTGTAAAATTTATGAATTTTCGTTTCAATGGTTCCAACGCAATTTTAGGTAATTCAGTATCAATACATGATATTATGTGGCTTATTAGAGCCTCATAATTTGAGAAATCAAGATTATTTGCACGCATACAATTAAAAAGTTGACGATTTGTTCGGAAATTTTCCATTTTGCGAGCGTGTTAATCTTCTATATATTTTATATATTCTATATATTTTTTACTGTACCCTAAAAAGGACGCAAAGTGAATTGTATAAAGCAACGACATAAATCAAAACTTTCAAAATCAAAGTCTTTAATCGACTACTGATCGAGAAAGACTGACGAAAAGTTCTTATCTCCGCAGTATTTATTTTCTCCCTCTTTTCTTCCCTCCTTTCCCCTTCCTTCCTTCCTCCCCCCTCTCCCCTCGAGGAGAACGAATAATTTAACGTAGAGCAATCTTATTGGTCCATGGATTTACAGAATGCGCAATACTCCAAATACATTTATCCAATAATATTTATTATATTGCTATTATATTAATTAATGTAATTAATTGTTATAAAATATGGATGTAATTAATCGTTATAAAATAACAATATTTAAACAAATTATATATCCCCCTTCGTCTTTTTTTTATGAGAAAATAAACATCCATATTCACTCGACATGATCAAATTTGAGCTATTCATGGACGACGTTCGACTATGTCGAGTGAACTTTGAGGTCAATTATCTCAAAAAGAGGGACGAAGGGGAATGAATGATCATATATGGCCAAAAACTAGGCACTTTGTCCTATCAAATGGCGCAGAGCAAACTTTAATCCATTCTAATCCACAAACTTTTTTCCTGTTTGAAAATTAAAGTAAGAAATTTTTAATAGTCGAATATGTCGTGTATATTTATTAATATATAATAGTACTCAAATGACATAAAACTAAAATAAATATGTTTTTTGAACCCTAATAAATAAGTTCTGATAGGCATTTAACTCATATTCGCAGTTATACTTTCGGCGGAGACTTTAGAAGGTAACCTAGCAAATTACTAGAATTTCAGTATTCACGAAAATGTCATACTTTATCAGATCATTTTGAGGAAACAACAAAGGATAAGATCAATTATAACTACATTTATTTATAGTTTAGGATATATATTAACATAAAATTTCGTCAAAATTTGAATTATACGTTTTTCATTTTTTCGTCCAATATCCGGTTTTTGATAGATTCGCCCCACTGTGTGCCGGCTGCCAAAGAACTCGACGAGACGCAGCGATGCTACCTGCCACACCACGGGGTACTCACCGCCTAAGACGAACGACACCTTCAAGATACGTGTTGTGTTCAACGGCACGACTAGGCTCCGGTGACTCACTCAACTCGCACCTTCTCACTGGGCCAAATCTATTGCCGGCACTAACTGACGTGCTGCTGAGATGGAGACGACATCGCTACGTGATAATAGCTGATATCCAAAAAATGTATCGCCAGATCTCACTGCATCCTAGCGATCGAACATATCAACGGATACTCTGGCGACTGAAAAACTCACCCGAGCTGCTAGAGATGCTATTTACGACAGTCACCTACGGACTAGCGAGCTCGCCATTCCAAGCAATCCGAACGATGCGACAACTCGCCAAGGACGAGCGACATGCCTACTCTCGGGCAGCGTCCATTCTGGAGGAGGAGACATACGTCGACGACGTACTCTCCCGAGCGGACACCGAAGACGACGCAAGGGAACTCGTCCACGAACTAACTTCACTGTGCATGGCGGGCGGCTTTCCGCTACGAAAGTGGGCGGCGAACAAAGCCGTGATACTCAAGGACGTGCCAACAGAGCACAGGCAAGTGAAGGACTTCGACCTCTGGGATCAGAACGCCAGTCACGCCACGCTAGGCGTGCAATGGCACCCACAGAATGACACCTTCGGCTTCAAGGTCCGGCCGGTGGAAACCACAAGCATCACGAAGCGAACAGCCCTCTCACACACAGCTCGACTGTTCGATCCACTCGGCTGGTTGGCCCCAGCAATCATCCTAGCCAAAATGCTGATCCAGACTGCCTGGCTGCAACATCTCGATTGGGACGAGCCTCTCCCCCCTCGAGATCAGCAGGATTGGCAACAACTTCTACGCGAACTGCCGATGGTCGAAGCAAAGCGGATCCCGAGATGGCTGCACACGGGCAGCTCCAGCTCTCGTCTGGAAATCCATGGCTTTGCAGACGCATCGGAGAGAGCGTATGCGGCGGTCATATACCTGAAGGCGAGCACAGACGGCGGGCGGAGCGTGGTCACTCTCCTCACCGCCAAGAGCAAGGTCGCGCCCGTCAAACGGGTTACCTTGCCACGCCTCGAGCTCAGCGCTGCAGCCATGCTGACTAGGCTGGCGGCGAGAGCGCAGGAAACACTGAAGCTCGTGGTGTCGCAAATTCATTTATACTCGGACTCCAAAGTGACGCTGGCATGGATTCGGGGGCACCCCTCTCGCTGGACAACATACGTCGCCAACCGGGTGGCGGAGATACAGCAGCTGCTACCGGAGGCAGTATGGCATCACGTGCCAAGCCGGGACAACCCCGCGGACTGCGCCTCACGTGGAATGCAGCCCAGTGAGCTGGTGGAGTTCGGACTGTGGTGGCAAGGACCATCGTGGCTGACGGAGAACGCACCACTCCCACTACGGACCTCGCCGCGCCTGGCAGAGGACGAGGTTCCCGAGAAGCGGGCACACATTAACACAGTGACCATAAAGCCACCCGAATCGGATATGCTGCTTCGATTTTCAACGCTGCGACGCCTGCTACGCGTCTCAGCATGGTGCCGACGCTGGTTACGGGCGATCCAAGTCTGACAATTATCTGTTTCAGGCACATCACTGACTCCGCAGGAACTGGAAGGCGCCCTGGCGACATGGATACGAGAGGCCCAAGCAGCCTGGTTCTCGGAGGAAATCAAAGCCCTCGATCGTGACAAGCAGCTTCCGAGGCGGAGCGCATTGCAACGCCTCAGCCCATTTCTCGATCACGACCACGTCCTCAGAGTGGGAGGACGACCGAAGCACGCAATCTTAAGCGACGATGAACGACATCCGGCCATCCTTCCTCGAGATTCGTGGCTCACAACGCTGATCATCCACGACCAGCATAGGCGAACGCTCCATGGAGGCGTTCAGTTAACCCTCGCCTCTCTCCGACAGAGATTGTGGATCCCAGGAGGGAGAGCACGAGACGACTCCACCATGCCAGTGGCCCCTTGCCCGAATCACCGAGGTGCATCCAGGCGAGGACGGACAAGTGCGGGTGGTGACAGCGCGAACGGCCACCACGACCCTCACCAGACCGGTGGCAAAAATCATCCCGCTTCCACAAACGGGCGACCAACACCAGACAACGTCGTCCTAGGACCAGACGAGGCGGGCGATATGTTCGAGAAGTCGAACATGTGCCGCGCGCGCCTGACAAATGCGCGCCCGGCCAACACGCGCTTATCAGATTGCGCGGCTCGCCGCGGCGCGTCGCCGGCTCACGTACAATTACTCGCGTTTAAAGTACGTTCGAGTAGCAATTTAAGGCGAAGCCGCGCACAGACCAGCATTGAATCCTACCGCTATACTCGGCGATCTAGCCTTGAGGAAGCGTTGAGAGACTCGAAATTATTACATCTTTTGTCGCGTCGAGTGAGATTTTATCTCCTCCGCGCAGTAACTATCGAGCGTCGAGAGACTTCTCCTCCGCTCATTGCACTCCTGTGGAGCCATCGTGGCCCCCTCCAAGCCCGACGCCCCTTCCGGGCCCGGCACAGTGGAAGCGGAGGCGCGGAGTGGCCCCACTCCGACTACGGCCAGAAGGAAGAGGTGCCGAACCAGGACGCGGAGCCAGAGACGACGGAAGCGCCTCTCCTACCCGCCGGTACCTCAGGAGCGGCACACGAAGGAGGCGGAGCCCGCTAAACCGGTGTCGCAGGAGCGGCACCAAGAGCCACCGGCCCTTGTGCAATCTCGTCTGGCCAACCAGCCAGTGCCGCAGGAGCGGCAGGCAACGAGACGGGAGCTGGACAAGGAACAGGCGATACGTCCGTGGAAGCTCATTCCCTTGGAGCTCCCGGAGGTGCGCCGCACCAGGCCAGCCGGACTGACGCTCCCGAAACGGGATTGCCGCATTTCTCGGCCACCGGCTCTCCACCTGATCCGCGTTAAGGAGACGCGAACCACAGCGTGCCAGACGGTGCTCAGGAGAGCTTTCCTGGCTCCGTCATCGCCAGCGGACCCACCGGATCAACCGACGGACAAGCCACCTCGCACCCCGGGCTCTAAAATCGACCTCAATAACAACTCAGTCCCCTCTGAGCCCCTTGCAAAGAAGGCCATCCGCCAAATTAACTTTTAAACCGTGCATTAGCACTTATATTTTTTGATTAGGCGCCTACAAGGCGCCGCCTAAGACAATGCAAACACAAGGTACATAATTTAGACAGAATATATTGTTTTTGTTACCAAATCTTGTCTCGCTGACTCACCGCCACCGTCCTGATCCCTATTGCGACCCCACGATATCGAACAGCTACATATAATGCAAAAGTTCTGTCCTGATACCGCGCTCTTTTATTGCTTTTTACTTGAAGGAAATAATATTAAATAATGAACGCATGTAAAAATAACAATTATATCTCATATGATAATTGATATTATTACATGTAATAAAATATACACAATAAAGGGAATAATTGAAATAAATACTTCTAATTATTACACGGTTTTAATAAAGATCGCAAGCAGCGGTTGAAACGCTGATGATTTTATAAAAATAAGAATTTGTGATTGGAATATGGAAAGAAGTGAGACAATTTTATTTCAGCAAGACATAATTAACGTTGAATAGGTTATAAAATATTAAGATATGGGTACACATGAACTATGTGGAACCTATTAATAGAAATTTTTACTCACCAATTTCCCTGAATGCACACCTATCATTCACGTAGAAAGATTTTCTTTAATATACATTTTTTTACGCACACGTACAGAATTTTTATGTACACTGAACGCTTCTATAATGACTTGTAACTGTCGTTACACGATAGCGAGGGGTTCCGGACTCCTCGTTATAATACCGACACATAACGACAACTTACCGATGCTTTTTGGTACAAATAACGACGAAATTTGTTGACACTTGCTTACAGAATCGCATTTGTCGTTACAGGACATCTCGTTATATTAACGAACCAAAAACTGTCGTTATGAGCACATAACGACTGCATAACGAGTTACAGAATCGCGCTACAGTCGGGGTGATCCGTATTTTACTGTCACTTATCACGCGAATAACGTCCCAACGCCAGGAGTCAATCGGTGCGAACAATATTCTCACGCAAATAATCGGTCGACGCGGACGATATTCTCACGCAGTTATCATCCTACGCGTAGGTAATCTAAGTGTCCGGACGCGAATCGCGAGCGACGCAATTACCAGCGCGAACAACCGTCTGACGCATTTAATACCATCCCGCGATTAATATTCGGCCGGGTAAATTACTACGCACAACGAGACACGCGGACGTAAACGCGAAGGGCGTGAGAAATGGCGTACTCGCGATATCGAACGTCGTCATCAGCGCGCTTACCGCGATTTCCAGGAGTCGTAGATTTCGGTCGCGATCCCACGGCCACGAGACCAGTCCGGGGCCCCTCGCTTTCGCTGTCGATCGCCAAATCCGCCTTGTCGGCGAGTACGTGATTATCGCGAATATTCCCGAGCGAGAGCGCTACCCGGGGAGCGATGTTGTGGCTTTACATGATTATGTTACGCGAGGCAACCTCACCGTAAGTCGATTCTCTCCCGAAAATCCTCGCCGTCGTCCCAAGGGTAGGAAAAATACAGCCCGAAATCTTATGCGCCTCAAAGGGCGACTCCGGTCGCAAAACCGAGCACAACGGTTCGCAGTTACGTGCGTCGGCGATCGAGAACGGCTCAAGAATACTCCCGAAATTTCGCTCGATGGCGGAATCGATAGCGTACCCCACCCCGGGCGTACGCGGTCCCGCGACGCTATAGCGCGGACCAATCAGGGGTGAGCTCGCAGGCTTGCGGTGGATTCTTGCGTAGGGCCGTTAATCACGGCTTTTCGCAGGGCGCCAAACGGTCCTTCGTTCGCGCGGCAATTTTTCCAGGATCCTTCCCGGTAGCGGACGGGACGTGATTGCTTCCGCGTTCCTCTTTGTCGGTCCGGAAATGGTGGCCAACCATCCCGGAATCCGGTCAGTAGGGTGAGGAAAGCAGGTGAGCTGATTTTGCCCCGGCGTCCCAGGGCCCTGCCATTACGGATTCGCCCGCCGCTGTGTTTTGCCGCCGCGCGCGTGTTCTCTCGCGCTCCCCTACTTTTGGCGGCCCGCAAGCACCACCGAGATCCGTTTCTCGTCGTCTGATTCCTCGCCTCTATCCCTGTCGTCGACTCCGTTTTTCCGTGATTCTCAGCATCTTCTCAGGAACTCCGGTTTTCGGCTCGGTGAGGCGCCGCGCAAATGATACAAAATAGAAACAAGGGATTAGAATAATGTACGCAATTTTAATATGCCCCTGGAGATCTCGCATCGATTCATTGGACCGTCCTCGGGCGCGAAAAAAGTTGCAAAACCCACGCCTTGTGACGGCAGCAGGGCGCTGCAACGCTGCAGCGGAACTGCAACGTCACAATATATATATATATATATATATATATATATATATATATATATATATCTGTACTTCCGAAAACGTCCATGCTCAGATTTAGGTGAAACTTTGTGAATAGGTTCCTTTTAGATAGAAAACACATATACCAAAAGGATTTTTTGCGACTCCAAAGTTTAGCAACTTTTTTAACATTTTTAACTTACTTTCTCCGCACATACATTTTCCACGCGAAACAAACCAAAACAGCTCTCAAGTAATGTAAACAACTATAAAATCATACACAAAGTACAAATATATTAGTTTATATACTCTGCTGTATACTCTGCTTTACTGAAAAAAATGGAGCCCTCCGCAAGGGGGCGGAACCTACTGCCTCTACGCATACACTGTCCACGCGAACCGAGGTTCACGTACACCCCCCCGTGCTTTCGGGGGAGGTGCGGTAGTCCCGAAATAGTTCACGCATATACTTTCCACGCGAACCGAGGTTCACGCACACCCCCCCCGTGCTTTTGGGGGAGGTGTGGTAGTCCCGAAATAGTTCACGCATACACTGTCCACGCGAAACGAGGTGCCACATAGGTTCGTGGCGCGCTTTACAAACTCGTTTAAGTAGAGGTGGTATTTCACCTCTACTTCTCACCTCACAGAAGAAGTTTCACCAATGATGTTTATGTTATGACTTTGACGGGTATGATTTTATGGTTGTTTACATTACTTGAGAGCTGTTTTGGTTTGTTTCGCGTGGAAAATGTATGTGCGGAGACAGTAAGTTAAAAATGTTAAAAAAGTTGCTAAACTTTGGAGTCGCAAAAAATCCTTTTAGTATATGTGTTTTCTATCTAAAAGGAACCTATTCACAAAGTTTCATCTAAATCTGAGCATGGACGTTTTCGGAAGTTTCGCCCTGATCGGATTCACTTGTATAAACTACTTCCGTTTCTTCTTGTTCATTTTCTTGTTCAATGCTTGTATGCCCTGGAATAATGACAATAATATCCGCATTAATGAATATAATCTATAATAAAAAAATAGTCGCGCGTTTGGCAGAACAAGTCGATTAATACTGTCATATTAATCAAATAATATTTATAAAATCAATTATATCCTTATGCAGGCTATATTTTGTTAATTGCTTAGAGTTTAGACAATTCATACATTAGCCGATAAGTTAATATGCCGCAATAATCCGTTTGCGTTACATTTTTATTATTACTTAGATTAATCGTTTATATTTTTAAAATTAATTTAATTAAAATTCTCTATAATGTGATAAAATCTCGAACAAAATAACGTACGTACATTACATGTATAACATTCAAATTGGAAAAATATATAAATGTATTAATATATATGTATCAATATTATTACGGCAAATTAATTACCAGTTTTAATAAATAAATATAATACAAATATTAGTAGTGAAAATAACACGTGTTTTACCTGTTGTTTCTTCAATCCGTGGTAGCCTCGCAAATCTACCGCGTCGTCCGCGACGGTTAGGAGGCCTGCCACGACTCCTTCTACTTCTAATTGTAAAGGAAAGTCCGTCATCCGTAAGTGTGTGTAGATTTTCTGATGAAACTATCAAAACAACATGAATACACATTAATGTATAAAATTCATACATAATCGTAAGTAATACTTCTGTGTATGTGTGTGCGTGCGTGCGTGCGTGCGTGCGTGCGTGCGTGCGATGAGCGTTTAAAAAATAAGTTTTAATCGGCCATAAAAAGGAACAGCAGTTAAAAATCTTTTATTTCAAACTAAAAATGCTTTATTTAATTTTTCTACGTAATCGTCGTCGATCTCGATATATTTAATGCATTAGAGTACCAGCTTGTTTGGCTGTGCCAAACAATTTTGCCGCCGGTAAATTAAACGTTAACAAAACAGCTACTGTTTAAAAAATATTGAAATAGAGTGACAATTATATTATAGGCAAAATCCGGATTGTAGGGAAAATGGTTAAAGAGTTCCGAACCAAAATCTGTTAATCAACTGTAAAGAGTTTGCACTGGGATTCTTCCATTATTCTCCTTGACACAGACCCGCGCACGATCTTGCCCCTAATAATTGACACCTATTTCTATACCCCCTGACTTCTTCATTAAAGCTTTTAAAATAAAATGACAACTCACTCGCGACAGATTTCTTTGATATCGACATAAAAGAAAGAAGCTATAACGCCACGTTTGAAAACAACGTAGATTTTAGGGCATATGTTTAGAGAGAAGACCCACTCTCCCTAAAAATAAACCAAAGAAAATTCCTTTAAATTTTCTAACTAAACATATTGCATATTTATAGTCTATAAGATACAAATTATATCTTACATGTCTGCAGATTGCGACTGCGTCTACGAGGTCTCCCGCGACTACGTGGAGGTAAGTCGTTCGTTATAACATTCTCCAGTAATGGTTCTGAATCCGACTCTGATTCGGCAATAATCGTTGCTACATTAATTAAATAGAAAAGATTAGTAGAAAATGAAAGATCTTTTTTTATATGTTTTAAAATATAGATATACAGGGTTTCTATAAAATCTGTTGCCACCCCTATATTTTGGAAACGGCTCAAAATTATAAAAAACCGCGAAATACGTGTTCGATCATTTTGAGAGGCTACTTTTTTAAGGAAGATGGAGAGGTTGTCCCCCCCAAGGGAGAGTCCCAGGGGATCTTAAAAATTTCAAATGGAACCCCCCTGTATTGTATATCATTTGAAAAGGCATAAAAGAAGAAAATTTTTGAAAATTAGCTTTTTCGAACTTTGACCCTAAGTAACTTCCGAACGGATAATCGTATCGATCTCTGGTTTGCGCCAAAAATTTTCTTTTCTTATGCACTTTCAAATGATATACTACAATATAGGGATGGCAATAGACTTTATAGAAACTCAGTATATATATCATACGATATCTATACATATACATGCATTTATAAGATGTATATGCAGGCATAGAGACAAAATTATTAGGCACACCCTTTGTTTCTTCTGAATATCTTGGAACGAATGAGTTTTTTGTTTACGTGTTGTTTTCATCCTTATTGATCTCGTGAATTGTTCAAACAGTTGAGGTATAAAGTCTATTACATATCACTTTAGAGAAACAGCAATATTACTCAGAAAACTGTTTACTTCGTATTTCGACTTTGATTAATACAGACGCAATTATTTCCATTTCACAAACAATTGCTAGACTTATTGTCTGTTCACTGCCTACAGACTGTACCTTAATTGTTTGAACTATTCATGAGATCAATAAAGATAAAAACAGTAAAAAATTTACTCTTATTCAGTTCCAAGATATTCAGAAGAAAAAGGGGGCCTAATAATTTTGTCTGTGTGTGGCTGTGTTTATACTATATACTCTCTAAAGTAGAATCAGTGAAAATATCACTGATTGAAACAGTAAAATAGGATTTCACTGAGAATCAGTGAGTATTTCACTGAACTTCAGTAGAACGTTTACTTTTTGTTTCTTTATCTTATATTTCACTGATTATGGTCAGTGAAAGTAAGATGTCACTGTAAAATCAGTTATCTGTTGGTAATGCTGATTAATGGTGGGAGAAAGCGGAACAGGATTGTGATGTCAGTGATGTGTGAAACACAAGACGAGAAGGTATACGTGACGAAGGACAAAGTGTACATACGATTACGAACAACGAGAGAAGCGGTACTGAGCTAAGCGTGCTTGCGAAAAAGGTGAGATTAAAAGTAAGTACGAAAGTTTCTTGAGCCGTAGTTCATTTACCGCGGATACTGACGAGTACGGTGGCCCAATGGGGCGAGATTATAGTTTGCCAACGGGGAAAAGATGGAGGCCCAACGGGCCCATAGTAAAGCGCGATAAACTGGAGACTGTTTCTCCTTTTTCATTTTCTGCATAAACCACGTCGTATTGAATTAGAGAACTGAACATCAAACAGAATAAAATTATTAATCTCGGTTATCGTTGGAAATAAGATTATATAAAACAAACTATATTATATATATATATATATACATATTTTTTAAATTATTTTAAAGTGTCTAAAAATTGCATTTACAAAATTGCCACAATAATTGTACGTTAACACGTTCGCTGCCGTACTGGAAATGCGATACTTCGGCCAGGAACCGGCTTTGTTTTTTGTAATGTTATGTAGTGAACATGTAACCCATCATGCGGCAGCGCGTGATCGGCACCTGACTGAAGGTACCGCATTACGCGCTGGCACGTGATTGATAGCAAACCTGTTAACGTTAACGTTAAAACTAAAAATAATTTATTTTAATTCCACTAGTTCCAACGATAACCAAACTGCAAATTAATAATTTTATTTACTTTTTTTTCAGATCACACTGAGTGTATAAATTTTATTATGGGAATTGTAAGACAATTTAGAAATTTTAGATTTAGATGCGTTCGAGCACGAATTTATATAAGTACTATAATTTTTATTATTTTTACTCGCAAACATTTCTAATTATAAATAAAATGTGTATTATTATAGGTAAAAAGTTTGAATCTTTTTCCAAAAAAAAAAAAAAATTTATACAAAAATTATCTTCTTTTTCTAGTCCTCAAAACGATAATGCCCTGTTAATAATTATATAATAGCAACAATTTTCTCTATAACTTTTGTACAATTTTTATCAAACAGATATATAAATATTATATAAACATTATATCTGGTGTATCATTTTAAGTGATTCAGCTGAATATCTCTTAAAGTAAAAGAGATTGGAAAAATTGTTTCAGACAAAAGTTGAAAAGCTCTCGAGATTAGCTACAAGAATATGCATTGGAAAATATGGGTTTTCATTTAAGAAATTAAAGGTGTCGTTCACGTGAGCTTTAAACGACTATCCATGGTCAAACCAATGACACCATCTTATGTCCCCCTTCAAACCAAACAACTTTTGTCTGAAATAATTTTTCCAATCTCTTTTACTTTAAGAGATATTCAGCTGAATCACTTAAAATGATTACTGTAATTTTATGACATGTTTTCATACTAAAATTGTAATCTGCCAATCTGTCTTTAATCGTAAAAAAATTATATTTCTTAATTTTATTAGATTTGAAAATTTAAATGAATCAAGTGAAAGATTTGTCAGTCCAAGAATTAGGACAGAAAATTGAGGAACTTACGGATACGGAAACACGGAAAATTTTTAATGGTAAGTGCGTATCAGCTTATTTTAATCTTTATAATATAATTTTTCATTAAATTATGGTTTAAATGATGCTCATAATAATTTCAGGTATCTAAATATATAATCCAAATATAGATAAACAATGCAGTTAAATTGCTTTATGTGTCATAATACTGTTAAAGGAGGGTTAGATAGTTTAACTCAACATTTTCAGACAAAACATGGTCTAACAATTAAAAGAGGATTACAAAAAGGTGGATTTGAATGCGGTCAAGATAAATGTCGTAGGAGATTTTATAATTTCTACTCTTTAAGAAAGCATATACGAAAAGTTCTTTTTTTTCAAGAAAATAATGATTATGATTTTTCTATGAGAAGTACAGATTCTGTTTCTTTACATAATGATGATATGATCATTGATCAAAATGATATGATCATTGATCAAAGTGATATAAATAATACTGATAAACGTACCGAAGAAGAAAATGAAGAGATCCTACAATTTTCTGATAATTTCAACTTGAGAGACTCTATAATAAAAATGATAATTAGGCTTCATTCAAAAGGAACTGTAACCGGAAGCCTTATAAGTGAAATTCTTGATGAATATGCAGAAATTACAAATAGTTTATGTAGAATATTACAAAGTAAAGTTAGACAATTTATGGAATTTAGACAAATACTTGATGATTCTGATGATGTTAGAGATTTGTTAGAATCTTTCGAAATAAGTAAATCTTTTGAAGGCTTGAAAACTGTTGAACAGCAAATGGAAGCTTTAAAATGTACTACAGAATACATTCAATCTCAAGAAATACCTTTGGGTACACGTATTAATAATATACTTGATAGAACAACAGATACTTTTGTACCAAAAAAAATTGTTGAGAGTTGTCAATATGTTCCCATAATTGATTCTTTGTCAATGGTACTTAGAAACAAAGAAATACGCGATGCAATAGAAGCCGAAAAAGAATCAAGTTATAATGGTATTCTTGCTTCCTTTATTGATGGACAACATTTCAAAAATCATCCCTTTTTTCAAAAATATAAGCACGCAATTAGACTTCAATTATATTATGATGAACTAGAAATCACTAATCCGCTTGGCTCTAAAACATGCATTCACAAATTAGGAGTATTCTATTATACTATACAAAATCTTCCGTTTCACATGAATTCTGAGCTTAGTAGCATTCATGTTTTGCTCATTTCTTGTCATGTTGACATAAACAAGTATACAATAAATAAAGTATTGAATCCTTTTCTCCAAGATCTTGCAAAGTTGGAAAGTGATGAAGGAGTTCCTATAGTTTTAGGAAAAGAAAAATATACTTTGCGTGCATCATTAGCTGCATTTTGTGGAGATACATTGGCTGTCCATGACGTATTCAATTTTCTGAGTCCATCCTGTAACTTATTTTGTCGAATGTGTCTTTATACTAGAGAAGATTTACATAACGGAAGTATAGAAATGAGGCAACAAAGGACTGTAGAAGTTTACAACGAGCACTTAAATTTATTACAAAATACTAATTATAGCAATAATACCAAAACTTTAACGGGAATGCATGGAGAATGTTGTTTGCATTCATCTCGGTTTTTCCATATATGTAGAAATTATATTTTTGATCCAATGCACGATATACTTTGTGGTATTGGACCAATGATATTAAAGTTAGTTTTAGCTCATTATGTTACAGAAGAAAAATTCTTTAACATAGAAAATTTCAATGATAGGTTAGTATCATTCCAATATGGTTTCGTAAAAAGGAAAAATAAGCCTTCAGCAAATTTTAATGAAAGATTATTGAATCAAAAGGGAAATACTTTGAATCAAAAAGCTATGCAAATATGGTGTCTTCTTCGTGCTTTTCCCTTTTTAATTTCTGATTGGGTTCCAAAAGCAGACGAGCATTTGCAACTAATTCTTCTTTTGCTAAGATGTATGGAAATAACATTTGCACCAAAAGTTGCAGTTTCCCTCATATCTTATTTGAGAGCTCTTATCACAGATTTTCTGCAGAAATTCAAGAAATTGTTTCCTACTGTAAATATGATAAATAAATTTCATCATTTAATGCATTATCCAGAATGCATTTTGTGGTCAGGACCTCTTCAGTTGTATAATTGCATGCGTTATGAAGCCAAGCATAATGAAATCAAAGTAAGAGCTCAAGTTGTTAACAATTTTAAAAATCCACCTAAAACATTAATAAGAATTACTCAATGCTCTGAAAGTGCTCGATGAGGAAGAGGAGATGCTACAACTTTTCGAGCTGAAACATATAATGGAGAAACAGTTAATGTGCAAGATTGCAAAAGTCGTACATATTTACATAGCGTAGGATATGTTGATGACGACTCTGTATTTAGCACTAACGCTGTAAAAGTAAATGGTGTTGAGTTTCGACTTCGTTTATTAGTATGCCTTGAAGTTGATAAGAAAAGAGAAGATAATCTACCACTTTTTGGACGTATAGATGAAATATTAATGTTAGAAAATAATGAAGTATTTTTCTTGACCTCTACATGTAAAACTCATTTATTTGATACTGATTTTAATGCCTATCATATTGATTTTGAAATGGATGAAGCTTCGCAAGTTTTCATAAATTGTCTTAATCTTGGACATTATAAACCATTTTCTATCTGGTCTGAACCAACATCTAGTCGCTCCTACATTAGTCTACGCCATATATTATTATGACTAATGTATTTTTTCATTGCAGTTCGTCAACTACAGAAATGTTAAACATTTTGTATTACTTTTAAATATATTTTTCAGATATAAATTTTATTAGATTATATAGTGATGTATATGTATAAAATATTTATAAACTTTCTAAATTTTCTATATAAGAAATATCCCAGTGAAAACAGCTTAATCAAGATTATGGCAATATGACATCATTTTGACTTGATTGTTTTCACTGCAGGGATTTATTAATAATAGCTTTTTTTATAAGTCTACTTCCTCTGTCTCTATTCTACATTGCTCTTGTTTTTATTAGTAATTTATATTTCTTGCTAAATTTTTAGATGAAAAAATTGAAGGGTTTTCTTTTTTTTTGCTCAATGAAAATGATTTAAGAAATATGGGATTAAAGATGGGTCCAGTAAAGAAAATTTTACAATTTCTTCAAGATTGTTCTTCTCAGGTAACGTTTTTTCTTTGTCTTTTTGTAATTATATGTTTTTTATTATTTTATTTATTTCTTGTAATTATATAAGCAGACATCAGGACAATCATTTCAAGTGGCGGATGGAACATATGAAGTAGGGGAAAATGGAGAAGTAATAATCTCTTCAGGTTCTCCTTCGTTATTAGGAAATTCCGTGGAAATAGAACCTCAAAGTCCATCTATCAGTAGTAATGCTATTACATCTATGTCAACTAATCCTAGCAATAACCAGGAATCTAAAATATCCAAGAAATGTTTTTCGGTAAAAATTGTGTTTTTTTCTTATGTTTTTTTGTAACAAGAAAATTGGGGAATACAGAATATACTAATACAATAAAAATGTAAATTATATGTTCTAATTCAGCGTTTCAAAACGGTTTATGAGACTCTTTTGAGGCATCTTCAAGGTGATAATATTTTAAAAGCCTGCACAGATGGCATATTCACAGAAGATGATAGACGAAGCCTCGTGAGGGTTGTAACATCCGAACTGGTAAAAGTACATGGAGATAATTAGTAAGTTGGTTATGTGTTTCTGAGAAATTTATTTATATTTAAACTTGCATCTTTATTAGGGTGTGTCATTTTGGAGCAACTTTTTTTTTTATTTCACGAATAGCATATATACTTGCAGGAAGGTAAAATAAGATACCTGTTAAAATTTTAGCTCTTAATATTAATATTAACAGGTCTCTCATCGCGATTTTTTATTTTTCACTTAGTAAGATAGAAAAAATTTTATAACTATCTAACAAACAGTAATACAGCATTGCGCCACATAGATTTTCTGTAGTAAATTTACCGCTTTACAAAAAAGATCTCTTATTATTTTTTTATAAATTCAACCGTTCAAAAGATATTCAAAGTTAAAGTTTGATAAATTTTATAAAACTTGTTTTTGCTTCTTATGAATGTTGTATCATATC